ATATATCAGGTTGGAAAGAAAGTAATGGCACAAAATCTTTAAACCGCTGTAAAAACCCGCAGTAACGTCCGATTTGAAAGTTTGATATATGGTTTGGTAGATCTTCGGATACTCTATCAAGAGACGATCCTCAAAACACCCAAAAACTAATGTACGCGAAAATACAGGCCTCAGAAGTTTCCCGGAAAATTAGGTGAAAGCTTCTCTGCTGGATGGGGGCCCAGACAAGCAGAAGATTTAGGTTTGATATTTTTAACACGAATCGATAGCTCTCGAGGAGTAGATATCGATAGATGTTGAGATCATCAAAATCGGACACTGGATGACCGAGATATGGCCCCTAGAATTTTGGTCCACCTGTTAGAACTTTTCTCGAAATGCCATACATTTAGGCCTGTGCGAGCCAAAAACTGCAGCGTTTGCTTCAGCTCCCGAACCAAAATCCAGAAAATGCATTAATTTTGGAAGGCCCATATCTCGGCCATCCAGTGTCCGATTTTGATGATCTCAACATTTATCGATATCTACTCCTCGAGGGCTATCTATTGGTGTTAAAAGTATCGTATGCAAATGCCTGTACGCAAAGATATCTCGCTTAGAAGCTTTCACCTAATTTTCCGTGAAAATTCTGAGGCCTGTATTTTCGCGTACATTAGTTTTTGGGTGTTTTGAGGATCGTCTCTTGATAGAGTATCCGAAGATCTACCAAACCATATATCAAACTTTCAAATCGGACGTTACTGCGGGTTTTTACAGCGGTTTAAAGATTTTGTGCCATCAAATGGCCCCATCCGGATTAAAAATAGGGTAAGTCAAAGAAAAAGCGTTTGTAAAGCATTTTGCATCTACTTCCGTCTGTTCAACCGGAGTGGATATCTTGATAGGGAATGGATTTTAAAGTACGTATGATACGTCATTAGGTGCGCAATGGTCTTGGGATGACTGCACACCTAACAGATTTTGCAAAATTATCGATTTTCGACATTAAATTTAAGTTTTTGTGAAAGCTTCTTTTGTTAAAAACAATTAGCATAGACCGGAAGTGGGGACGCGACATACAGGGACGTAGCGTAATACTGCCGCCCCCTGGAAATCGGCTGGGGCTTCTAAAATAGCTAAGGGGGACCCTTACGATTTTCTTTTCTCAAAAATTTGCTGCCTGCGGCGCTTTGCTTTTTCACGTTTTTACGGCTATTTGTAGAGCTATGTAACCTTTTTTTCAAAAATTTCTGCCTGCGGCGCTGTTTTCTCATTCTTCTTTTAAGTTCTTTGGAAAAAGTTTTTGGCCCCCCCCGAAATTTTTTTCTGGCTACGCCCCTGGCGACATATAAAGCGGCAGAAGCAGTGGTTTTTCATTTTTTGCAATCTGGAATTCAGGACAAGTATGCAAAGTGAAGCATAGAAAGGGGTCAGGACGGGGGCCAGGGTTGAAAAGTCGCGAAGCGGCTTTTCAACCCTGGTTAGTTTTTAATTTTTAGTAGTAAGGGGTAATTTTTATTTTGACTTCGACAACGTAATTTTAATATCGATAAAAAGGCGAAAAACGGAATAAACACAAAATTTAGGCGTGACCAGCTCGATCACCTCAAAAATTGCGCCGTCGCTGAACACGATCGTCGAAAACTTCCGGCACCACGTCGACCATTCCACTTATGGGGTAGAATTTTTGATAATTTTTAGATAATGGAGTTTGTTTTAATGTTTTTATTCGTGTATTTATTGTTTTAGACAGCTGAGGGCCAGCTAATCGCAGAATCGACAGAAACGAATAGTTCCTGCGGAAACGATATTGGCAAAGGTTTCTCAAAAAGGCGTCAATCCAAATTTCCTCTTTTTCAGAAGTTGCCGAGGAGATAGGCCACGACACGAGTGTCGTCGTCGTAAGAAGACATTTGGGAGCTGGGAAAAAGAAGAGAGATAAAGAATGCGTGGATGGAGAAGAAGATGAGGTGATGCAAGAAGATGAACCTAACCGAGAGGTTAGAACAGTGATAGTTTTGGCTAAAATATGGAATTCAATCGATACGTCCAGCCCCTTATCGATCGGACGCTCGGGATCGATTGCGTGACGTTAGACAGCGTGGGTTTGAGCTATTTTAGAAGCTCTTAGCGGTCTTTTTCTACTGTCGTTGGTTTCCTCTATTGTATCGCCTTCAAGTTCTTTTAAAACACGTTTTTATTTTTTAGATTTTGTTACCCTTAAAAAGGCATTTATTTAGTTTGAGATCTTTTCCAGCTATTTTTGTTGGATCAGATTGATTTATATATTTGCCAATTAGTACGTTTTCTTTTCTTCTAGTTGTAGCTCGCACTTGGCTCTGGCCAAAAGCCTCGATCCTCCGGTCGGATCGCCTCATCCCAATTTCCCCAGGACTCTGCACGACTGCAAGCAGTTACTCGCCAAATCCGTGGGTTTCCACTTTTTAATCTTAATATTATCATACTTTTGTTTAGAGTTTGTAAAAAAAAGCAATCAGGTATATTTACAAACTCTCACCGTTTAGGCCTGAAAATACAGCGTCACCGGAACGTGTTGTCGACGAAGAAGATGATGAAAAGGCAGGAAATCAGCGAGAGCATGATTGAGAGTTGGCTTCCTCGCTGGACGCCGTCTTCGAAAGGGAATATCAGCTTAGGCGCAGCCCGTTGAAGAGCGCTGGTTTTTAGTCGCCGGTTTAAAAATTTTCTACCCAACCTGCCTCGGTCTCAACGATGAAGCCCCGAAGAAACTTGAGCTTCATGAAGGAAAAGCTCTGACAAGGCGGTCATTGTCAATGATTTGGCTGATATCTCATTTGAAGTACGTTTAATTTAGCTATTTATTTCGATATTAATGATAGCTGTTAATTTTTATTTTACGAAGCAACTTTCCTTAATTCAGATATCACTACCCTATACCCCATCATCACTCTCCGCAAATGGGGGAATGTTTTTGATGTGCCACAGGAAACGCCATCCAAGATGGGTCGCCATTGACAAGTTGAAACGAAAGAATACCGAATGGATAGCCGCCCAACTCCTGGCCGACCAGCTGGAAACGAGCGGTACGCTTTGATTCGAACAAAATTGTAATCCATAGAATTAAAAAGGAAGAATCCGTTACGCAATGTATTTCAGAGCAGTTACACCGTGAAACTAATAAAATTCAGTAACCCTTTAGAAAACGGCGGTTTTTACTGGCGCGTGAGAAAAGGGATCGCTCAGATGTGCATCGAGTTGACGCCGAATGCCGTCTGGATGGATGTGGGCTTTTAAAACCCCTTTTGTATCTTTTTTTTAGTTTGAAATTCGAAATTTTTCATTCGAATTTGTAACTTAGTATAATTAAATATATTAAAAATATTTTTACCAATAAAAATACTTAGGGAGCTCCAATAGCTTCAGCATGCACTCGCGAGTAAAGATGCTTGGTATGTGGCAGGGGATACGGTAAGGAACCTAGAAAAATGGGGATACGGTAACTTGGCTTTTAGGTTGCTGTGAAAATGGAGCTACCCGAGGAGGGGTATCATCACGAGATGCCCTGTGAATGGCCAATCAGGTTTGGATAGTTTTTTTTTGGTTCTAGACTTTTACGGGGGGGTTAATATATTGAAAATATTAAAAATTCGTGAATTTTGACCCTTTTGTTAATTTTTCATGCATTTAATTTTCGACCTAAAAGTCAAAAATTTTCGAAAATTTTTAGAATTTTGTACGAGATTTTTATGCCTAAAAACTGTTTGCATTGCTATAAAAATGGTTACAATCATATTTCTCGTATTTAAGAACTCAATACTATTTAAAAATTTACAGATTCTGAAATTTAGAAGTCTCTCCGCGACACGTGACGCCGTCTGGGCGATACGCGATGATACGGGCGAGATGGTGGTGCGTGTCGGGATGAATAACTGTAGAACAGGCACCGATTGGGTCTCACTCGAGTACGTCACTTTACAAACGCCTATTAGAACATTGAAAATATTTTTAATCAATTTCTTTAAAAAAAAGGTTTTTAGCATCGAGATCCCTGGGAAACTCGTGGCGGTAAAACTGGTGGAGACCGTGGGGTTCTTATTGAACGAATTTGGTGAGCCTTTAATTCTTTTATTTTGCTTGAACATTGAGGCGAGCTAGCGGAGATTTTTTAGGAAATCTTTGGATGGTAAAAGGAGTCGACGGCTTTCACCCCTACGGTAATGGGGACAGCTTCATGTCGGTGTGCACACCAATAGCTGGCAGAAAGGGGTTGCCTCATCCGACACAATGGTAGGACATTTTTGAATTCCGGAAAATAGGGCATTTTTTAGGAGAATGACCGCTTCGACACGCGGATTATTTATCACGGCCGGAAGGATGTTGTTCGCGTCGCGGGTTGCTGTTTCGGGGCATCGGTCGGTTACAAATTTGGCTTAGAAACTTAGCTATTTTGTAGCGAGATAAGCCAATATTTTCTAAAATTAAATACGTTTTAAAATTTATCTTTACTAATAAATATCTCAGGCTTTAGAATTTAACAGTCTATATACAAACTATCTTTCAGATTCCCGCACGTGATCCCACAAAAATTGCGACATTACGATAAATTTACAATGCTGGCCGCCGGGGCGTTGGTGGATGATAGTTCGACACGTGGGTCGCTTTTTAGGATTTTTCCATAGAATGTTTTTTGTATTGTAAATGGAAAGCTTTTCTCAACTTATTTTTACTGTTCCAAAGCGGAAACACTTAGAATTTTTTGGTAGAAAATACAAAAATATCGTTTTTTCGCCCAAAAGTTCAAACTAAAATTTTGTCAAGTTCTGGATAGTTTTTGTACTTCAAATCTCATTAAATTTGAGGAAAAGGACTATTAAAATCGTTGCCATTAAGTTACCAGGAATTTCTACACTTATGAAAACTACCCCCCCGATAATGCACAAGTTAATGTTTTTTGGTCTAATGAATTCGCTAAATTTTAACTATAAATTTATACATTACGGCTGTTACAAAACGCAAAATGATATTTTGAAACCGAAAGTATTCAGACGGTGTTTTTGCCTGCCGCCCCAACAGCGAGCTGTTCGGCTTTCGGCCGGCCCTTCAGACCTTCGCAACGACGACGCTGCCGCTGGCAAATGGCCAGACGAGTACGGTAAGTAATAAGAAATTAAGGGTAAAAATAACGCACAATAAATCAAGGTAACGTCCGTAGCGGCGATCCCGGAGCGGCTTATAGCTCTCGATAGCTGCGGGGCATTGTCGGAGCGCCGGCTAAAGGGCAGCGATTTGGAGTGGAAAACGGTTGACACTAATGGTAGGAATCATTTAGCGTCTATTAAACTAGTTTTATTAAGTTATACTGTTTTCATAATAAAAATATGGCTAATGATTTATTTAGGCGGTACGCTTCTTTCGGCGGCAGTTTGCGAGCATGGCCTTTGGGCGGTGACGTCGGCAAATGAAGTGGTCTACATGGGAAACGGCGATACACAATGGCATCTGGTGGAAAGTCCACACAAGGCCACATTACACGAGGTATAGGCACTCAGAATTACGATTCCGTTATGGACTTATGGCTTTCACTTTAATTTTTCTTGTTTCAAGATTCGTTGCTCGCGTGATGGTCGTTATGTGTGGGTGCTGAGCGCCTCGGAAAAGAGGTAGGCGTTTGAGTCTCAAATATACAATTATTAGTTCTAGGGTATGGGCGCGGAGTGCTGTGGCCGAGCTGACGCCGATGGGGATAAAATGGGTTGAGGTGAGACTTTGGGGCCGACTTATGTTACTGGCCACCCTCACCTACCAATTTTTCTAATTCAAAAGAGGAATTTGTTCTAAGGGTTTTTTTTTTGCTATTCCTAAACGCAAAAACTTTACAAATGGTTATCAAAAACTACAAAAATATTGATTTTAATCAAAAGGCGATTTGTAAAAAGCTTTCAAGGTTTTTAGCGAATTATTCCACTTGGAATTAGACGTAAATGTTACTAAGACAACTATTAAAAGGCTTTCTACTTCGTTAATAAGAATTTATGAATTTTAACAAAAACTAGGTAAGAAAAATCCTACCTTATATAATTTTAGGGTGTACTGTGTGTGTGTGGATGTCACTTTCAAGGCCCGTAAGGGCCTTCCCCTGGTAAGAAATAAGTCAGAAAGTCAGAAGTCAGAAAAATGAGTCATATACCCAACGTGAATCGAATTAAAGCCGAAATGTTTTTAGATACCAAATTTTGGCGGCGCCTGATTAAAGAAGTCTTTAAAATAAAATGTATTTGGATTGAATTTAATTATAAAACATAACTTTAGGCTTCTTCCGAGCCACACCTTCTCGAGCTAGCCGTCGGCTGCAATGTCGTCTGGGGGTTGGCCAATGATGGCACATTGTATCGGTTCGTTTCTCGCCCTAAATTTTTTCGTACTAGTTTTTATATATTTTTTTATGGATTTCTATGCCAATCCCATTCAATTTAGCACGAGAATGCCAAAATTCATAATAAGAGGAACGCCGATTTTGATAAAAGCCCATTCTTTTTAGGCTCCGCGGGTTGGCGGCGAACAACCCGGCTGGAAACTATTGGCGGGCGCTGCCGATGAGGCTACGGTAGGCCGGTCATTTTCGCGGAAATTCGCCGATTTTAGGGCAATCTCGGTGGACGCGTCGAATGGGTTGTGGGGTGTCGATGAGCAGGGATCTCTCGTCCGGCACGTGGTTCGTTTTTGCTAGTTTTAATTTAGACTAATAAGTGGTGTTGTTTTTACTTTTATTTAGTTGAAAGTTCGGAAACTGTCATTTTTCAGACCGAATGCGCCTGCCGCAGTTTGCCGACGCGCCACACCGGTTGGATCTCGGCCTGGCATTCCGGCTTCGAATTCATTTGAAACACCCGTGAAAATATTTTATTGGGTTTTTCCTACATTTCCGGGCTTTTCGGTGCCGAGTTTTACGGAGATTTCATGATTTTGTGATTCTCGCTGTACAAAATGCATAATAATATTATTCTTGCACAATTACCAAGATAATTCCTGTGATTTGGACGCGTGATAAAGAGAAACAGGTGTTTATTAGTTGCAAAAAACGGTCGGCTGGAAGTTTTGGGGGCAAAAACCGTAGGCCTGATTGCATGTGACTTGTCCGGTGCTTGCGCATTATAGAGGGGGTATTCGTAAAAACGGTTAAAAAGCCAACCGAATAAGATGTTGGAAGCCGTGAGAAAACCTCGCTAAGACCACAGCTTGCACACGTAAATACATAATGCTTTTATTGATCTCACATACACGCACAGATACCAAATGACAACAGCAGATGGTAGGGATAAGTACCACAACCTACAGTAAAGCAAGGGAGAGTGAGTGTGGTATTTTATGGGGCCAAAAACGGTGGGACCTGTTAGAGAAACCGATAGAGATAGGACACGGGGGAGTAATAGAGAA